AATTTAGTACGAATGATCTATTTCGAAGATGCCTCATCACAATGGAGTAATTGAGAGGATGAATAGAACTATTGTTCAAAGAGTGAGAACATTGTTATCTCATGTCAAGTTACCTAAGAGTCACTACAAGAAAAATGTAAATTTTTGACGGATATAATCCATCGATAAAAAGGAATATTCGTCATAAATTCTCTATTTCGGACGGATTTCTGACAGATGTAAATCTGTCGGAAGAAAGGGAATTGGAAAAAAAATTTCGTCAGAAACAATTTAATCCGTCGAAAATTGTTTGAAAATCTTTATGTAATTTCGACGGATAAATCCGTCAGCTAATTTTTGTTTAATTTTAATAAATTTATTAATGTAACACCTCGTCACCCATTCCTATATTACTCAAAGTCAAGCACGGTTAACTGTGGAATTCTAATGAGATAAGCTACCAAAAAGTAGATGCATGTTGTTAGTATAGGTAGTACAAATTAATTTGTTTAAGTTATACTCAACTATACAATCTCATACTTATATTATCTCTGGATCCCTCTCATTCTGGTGTGTCCGGACCATTATAAAAATATAATAATATATATAATAATTATATTACCAATAATAATAATTATATTATATTTAATTAATCTTTATTTATATATATACTTACTTTTATAATTAACAATCTACTTATTTCTATTTAAAATTAATATTATGATACAATTTAAATTATTTATTATAAATTTAAAAGTTTAAATAATATAATATAATTTATAAAATTATAAATATTTATTTATTAAATACTTATAAATTAAATTTTAACATTTTAAATAAATTATTAATTAAATTAATATATTTATTTATCTTAAATCTAAGATATTAAATTTAAAAAGTGTATTTATCCTTATTTTATTTTCTAATTATCAACCATTAATAAAATACTAATTTATAATATTATCTAATTATATCATAATATTTTCATATTAAATTGAAAATAAGATATTAGTTATACAAAAATATCAAGATCATATAGTAAATTTTCAAGATTCTAGTTAAATAATTTAAAATAATTAATTTTTCAACTATATTGTTAGCAAATAATTTATTTCAAAGCTAATCAATTTTTCTATATTAATTATTAGTAAAATTTAATAAGTTTTAATTTAACAATTAATCGATAAAATTCAACATACACCATGAGTTATTGAGCGAAGTAACTTTATCAAAATTTACTTTGTGAGTCATTTGATTCCTTCTCTCTCTCTCTAATATATATATATATATATAAATATTTAAAATTTTATTGATCTTTTTTAATATATGATTGTCAATTTTCGTCAAAAATTCTTACATTTTCGGCAAATATAAATTTATTGAAAATATTCTATCAGTAATATAACTTTTCCTACAATTTTTTTTCCATCGAAAATATAAATTTTCTGACAGATTTATATCCATCGAAAATATAAATTTTCTGACAGATTTATATCCATAAAAAATTATCCATCGGTAATATAACTTTTTCTACGAATTTTTTTTCTGTCAGAAATATAAATTTTTCGACGGATTTGTATCTGTCGGAAATTATCGGTCGGTAATTTGCATTTTTCTTTTAGTGAGTTTTTGAGGTGAGGCTCTAATGATTGTAATTGATTTAATCAACTTATCCCCTTCAACTCTATTAAATAGTGATGTTCCAAACAAGTTTTGGGCATGTAAAGATTTATCCTACAACCATTTAAAGGTGCTCGATTATAGAGCATTTGTACATGTTCCAAGTTTAAGGCTATGGATGAAGCATTTCTTGTATAAGGCATGAACAACCAAAAGTACGTCGTGCATTGCAGTACAATCCATGTTAGCAAGAATTCGAGTTTCACTCGAGATCAAAGCTTATTATGAGATTTCATTGGATATGTGATATATTGGAAACCAAGCAATTACAGCTTAAGAAAATCCATACCGATGACAACAGCTCATATATGATGACCAAGTCCTTACCTAAGGATAAGTATGAATTTCGCATAAGAGATACTGAACTGTCAGAGCCCTCCACCTAAATCGAAAGAGGTATATTGATGGGTTTTCCTCTTTAAGAAGAGAGAAAAAGAAAGAGAGAGAAATTAAAATAAAATAGCAAATGGAAAGAAAGAAGTTATACAAGATTTCCAAGTAACTATGATGGAGAAAAGATATACACTAGAAGGGGGGAGGTTAAAAAGTGTATATCAAACTTGTGCTCTTTGCAACGAAGTAATAAAAACTGTACAGACGAAACACTAGAAAACAATGTACGAGGTGACAGAGACTACTATTAGAGTATATTCCATATTGTATATACGCTGGACTAATTTAGCAAATAGTTGAGATTATTAGTTAGGCATATTCTATTTTTGAATTTGAATTAGTCTGTTAGGATCTCCAGCTCATACAGCCAAGTTTGTTAGTATCAGATAAGCTCAATAACTTGTATATATACTTCGTTTGTATATCCCTTCTTCAATCAATAAGAATGACAATTTCTTTTACTAAGATGGTATCAGAGCTCATCATTTGAGTTCTGGTAGCCATAAGAGAATTTCGTATTTTTTTCATTTCTATTTTCCGCACACAATTTCTATTTTCAAAATGGCACACCAGAACTCATATGAGGATTTCCTCACAAATCCAATGAATCCTTTCCATCTCCATGGAAATGAAAATCCTTCTCAGTCATTGGTCTCCTCTCCCTTAATGGGACCTAATTACCATGCTTGGGCAAGAGCTATGAGACTGGCTCTCATGCCCAAAAACAAATTGAAACTTGTCGATGGATCCATAATTCCCCCTGTGCCAACAGATTCAACATATGGAGCTTGGGAAAGAAGTAACATATACTGTTCCTCGGCCATGTTGGCCGTTCGATCGGCCACATAGGCCGATATTCGAGCTAAAAAGCTCGAGTAAGGATCTTCATCCTTCATTCTTCAGGTGGAGCCAGATCTTTTTCGGCTCGAATCACAAATCCCTTCTTCACGTCCCAGCAAAAATTTTTCTTGACTCCTTCTTCTTCATCCATCACCCCAGAATTGTAAGCATCAAACGGTTTGGTCTTGGCAAATGCTGTCAATTGTTGATTAGCAAAATACATGCCAACTTCATACGTCTTCTGGTCAGCCTCGAGAACCTCCAACCCTTCGTCATCATTCCAGAAGAAAATCTTCTGGTGCACCGTGGAAGGAACAACACCTACCCCATGGATCTACTCTCGACCCAGCAAAACATTAAAATTCACCTTGGATGGCGTCACTATAAACATGGTGGTTCTCTTCACACTCCCAATATGCACATCAAGCAGAATCATGCCTTCAGGGTGTGAAGACTGTCCTGCGTAGTCAGAGATCATTATGTTGTGAGGCTTCAAATCAGCTAAGGATTTTCCAAACCTCTTCAGCATTATCTTGGGTAGGATGTTCACAGCTGCGCCTCCATCGACCAAGACCTTGTTCACCTCTTGCCTTTCGATCATCAGTGTTAACAATAGGGGCTTAAGATGTCCTTTCATTTCCTCCGTAGGAGAATTGAACACAGCAGAATTGAATTTGGGGATAACCCTCGAGATTTGATTAACCCATATGATTTTGGATTTATAGTTGGGGTCATCAAATAAATCTTCTCGCTGCATATCTTCTAGTTCGTTCACAGACTCCATAGCCCTAGCATACTCTAAGGGTAAAATGGAGACTACCCCACAAATATCTTCCAAAGAATCCTCGAAGCCACTCTCGAAACAGTCAGTTATCATGTCTTCATCGTCTTCGACGAACTTCCGAGAGGATTCCCCTTTCTGAGGGACCGAAACCGAGAAACGATTTCCCCTGACGCCTTCGAAGGTAGCCTTACGCATCCTTTGCTGTCTCCTCCACTGGGTTTTGGTTAGATTGTTGAAAGGCTGTTGAAAGCCACACCCATAGCCTCCAATCGAGACTCCACAGGGTCTTGTAGTCGAATTTGGAGCTTTCCTAAGAATTCCTTGCATTGGGTAATATATATATATATATATATATATATATATATATTATTTTAGATCAATATAGATAGAAAAATATCATCAATCAACATGAACATATAATAGATTTACCTAATTTATTTATGTTCACCATTTAATCATACAAATAACAAAAAGTTTTAAAGCAAGCTATATGTCTGGTGTCACACACCTTGTGCCGACACCATTGAAGAAGGAAGTTCTCTGTCTCACCCATACTCGACGCCACACAACTCGATCTTGATGTGGATTAGGTAGAGATCGCTAAACCCTCACATCTACCATGGAAAATGTTAGTCCCTTAGCCTCGTATAACTTAAGAGGGGGGGTGAATTAAGTTTTCTAAATTTTCCTCTTATAAAACCTTTTCCAATTACTTTCTTATCACTTTATTTCCTTAGACAAATTTGCATGTAAAGAATGATGATGAAGAACAACTCAAACACAATTAAATAACAAATAAATAAAAGTGTAGGGAAGAAGAATTGCAAACTTGATTTTATACTGGTTCGGCCAATCCTGCCTACATCCAGTCCTCAAGTCTCCCACTTGAGAATTCCACTACTCTTGTAAACCTTACAAGAAAATGAATCCTCCAACACCTCGGAACTCCGCCAGGCGTGACTGAGCCTTGGGCTCTCTGGCTGGGTCCCGCTAGGCGCGGGTATGCTTGCGCTGGGCGCGCTGGCCCCCTGGTGCTCTCTGGTTGCATTGCGCTGGGCGCAACCATGAGTGCACCGGGCGCGAAGATGTGACTTCACTAGTGAATGTTAGAGGTTGTTTATGTTGAGTTTAAGTAGAAGCTGTTGATTATAATGTGATGACTTGTGGTTAACGCTACTTGTTGATGTTGAGTTGTATCAATTATAAATAGTTGTGAGTTGATATGTTGAGCTGTATCAGTTGTATATTGTTGCACCTCAGTCACCCATCCCTCTGTCAGTCTCTACACCACCACATAATTCCCTTTCACCAGATTTATCTCAACCTCATTCACCTACACACAGTTCTTCACCAAACTCTCCCCCACAGAATGCACCAGATTCACCTCCACAGAATCCACCTCCTCCTCCATTAAGGCAATCAGATAGAATCAAGAAATGGCCAACTAAATATAAAGACTTTCACTGTGGCTACAATGCTAACCAATCTCCTCCAGGTAAATACACCACTCCTCATCCTTTGTCTAAATCACTTTCTTATGACCATTGTTCTTCATCCTATAAAACTTTCTGTTCTAACATTAATGCCCAAACCCAAATCTTATTATGAGGCTTTCACAATTTCCTTGCTGGAATAATGCTATGAAAGCTGAAATTACTGCTCTAGAAAAGACAAACACTTGGATTTTGGTTGAACTTCCTCCTGGAAAACATCCTATTGGTTGCAAGTGGGTTTATAAGATTAAGCATAAACCAGATGGCAGCATAGAGAGGTACAAGGCTCGTTTGGTTGCTAAAGGCTTCACCCAATTGGAAGGCATTGATTACTTTGAAACCTTCTCTCCAGTTGCCAAAATCACCACATTCAGAGTTTTGTTAGCTCTTGCAGCAGCCAAGGGTTGGCACTTACAACAGTTAGATGTGAATAATGCATTCCTTCATGGTGATTTAGATGAGGAAGTATATATGAAACTACCTCCTGGACTCACTGCTGATTCTCCTAATCAAGTGTGTAAATTGCAGAGATCCTTGTATGGCTTGAAACAAGCCAGTAGACAATGGCATTCTAAACTCACTACTGCTCTTCTCTCCCTAGGCTACACTCAATCAATGGCAGACCATTCATTATTTGTTAAAAATACAGGATCTTCATTTACTGCTCTACTAGTATATGTGGATGATATTTTGCTTACAGGTACTGATTTAGCAGAAATTAATCATGTGAAGAAGTACCTAGATGATCAATTCAGCATTAAGGATTTAAGTGATCTGAGATACTTTCTCGGCTTAGAAGTTTCTAAATCAGCCAAAGGGATTGTTCTAAACCAGAGAAAATATGTTTTGGATATCTTATCAGATGCTGGTCTATTAGGAGCTAAACCTGCTGCCACTCCTATGGATCCTTCTACAAAATTACAGGCTGACAAAGGGATTGCATATACTGATCCTGCAGAATTCAGAAGAATCATTGGTAAATTGATCTATCTCACAACTACTAGACCAGACATCTCCTATGCAGTCCAACAGGTCAGTCAATATGTCTCTAATCCACTTGATTTACACTATAAGGCTGCCATTCGAATCCTACGATACTTAAAAGGTTGTCCTGGCAAGGGCTTGTTCTTCCCTTCTTCCAATTCTCTTAAACCTTCTGCCTTTGCTGATTCTGATTGGGCATGTTGTCTTGACACCAGACGCTCCGTGACTGGTTATTGTATATTCCTAGGAGATGCCTTGATCTCGTGGAAATCAAAGAAACAAGGTATTATTTCTAGAAGTTCATCTGAAGCATAATATCGTGCCTTGGCTCAATTATCGTGTGAATTACAATGGCTACAATATCTGATGACTGATCTCAAAATTCCGTTCCCTCTTCCTATTTCTACTTACTGTGACAATCAATCTGCAATTTACTTGGCTCACAATCCTACTTTTCATGAAAGAACAAAACATATCGAAGTTGACTGTCATGTTATTCGAGCTCGAATTCAGTCAGGTCTTATTCATCTCTTGCCCATCTCCTCCGCCTCTCAAGTTGCAGACACCTTCACCAAATCTCTACATGCTCATCCTTTTCAGAATGCACTGTCCAAGTTAGGCATGTATGACATCCATAGCCCAACTTGAGGGGGGGTATTAGAGTATATTCCATATTGTATATACGCGGGACTAATTTAGCAAATAGTTGAGATTATTAGTTAGGCATATTCTATTTTTGAATTTGAATTAGTCTGTTAGGATCTCCAGCTCATACAGCCAAGTTTGTTAGTATCAGATAAGCTCAATAACTTGTATATATACTTCGTTTTTATATCCCTTCTTCAATCAATAAGAATGACAATTTCTTTTACTAAGAACTACGTTCAATTCATAATCAAACTAGATTGAGTTTCATTATCTTGTACATGATACAAGTATTTTTTTACAAGTCACTTAAATATCTTTTCACCAAGTCTCTCCATGCTCAAACTTAAATATTCTTTTAACGAGCCTCTGCAGGCTCAATCCCAAGTATATTTTTTTCCACAAATCTTTCCAAACTCAACACTAAGTATTCTTTTGTATAAGTCTCTCCAAGCTCATTCCTTACAAATAAATTTAACAAGAATTACAATTATAATCTTGCCTCTTCTAGACATAATACTATGAAAATACAACACAAATAAAAAGGGTGGAAGACTTCAAATTGCATGAGAGGTTTTCAGTTTCTTTTCATTAAAGGCTATCATCCAGATATCTGGGCATATAATGTTAAGATCAATGGACTTTGCTGTCAAAAAAGGAAGAGAAAGGTTGCATGCGTGATGTTATAACTTTTGAAATAATTATCTCAACAAAAACTGTTAATGCTCTGTTACTTTCTGAATAGGAAGAAGAGACTATGATTGAACTACTGTGTTGTTGGAGACTTGCTCGTGGCTGCGCAAATATCACGTACTCATTGAAGTTAAATCTCTCAAGTAAGGGAAACATGACACAGTCGAACGAACCACATCTTACATTACCAAAGGCATGCAAGCAAATGAAAACATCAAATGGTGTATCGTCTGATATCCTTAGACATGAAAATCATAAGGACAATAAACAAGTTGTTTTGTAACTCATCTAGCATCCGCTCTCAACAAGGATAATAAGCTTTGAAGCCAACAAAATATCGAAATATAACATCATCCACGCAAAGAATGGACTAAATGAAACATGCAACGATTCCAACAATTTCCGAGGGGTATGCCGAAATTCAGCTCAAATGATCAACTAAGCAATTACCCAAAACTATATATATATATATATATATATATATATATATATATATATCTAGAAAGACAAAAAATAAACTATATTTGATCTATG